AGCCTCTGAGGAACCGGTCGTTGCTGTTGGCCCCGCCGGTCGGCCGGTTCTTCACGGGGATAGGGCTTTAACGTAGGAAAAAAGGCACGGCAGTTCTCCGATAGTGCTTTATTCCGCTCTCTGCCGCCGCTCTGCTTGGCGCAGGCGTCACTGTGACCTGCTACTGCCACCCAGCGGGGGAGAGCGTCATTTATTTTGATATATGTGAAAAATCCCGAGTGATTTCAGTGAAAGCACTGGTGAGTGAAACGGCGTGTGTTCAAGTCGGGGGCTTACATGTAATGTAGTAGGTTTTATTCAGGTCTCTTGATCTGGGTGTGGTGCAGCGCTTGCTCGGCCGATACGCAATCTGGATCTTTTCCTCAGCAGGGTCTATTGAAACAAAGTTGATTTTAAAAAAGCTGAATTCAAGGCTATGCAAAGAACTGAGTTACATCAGGTGGGTTGGAAGGTGTAATAGCACTGCCAGCCTCTTGTCCATAAACAAATATTTGCAGGTAAAGCTCTGAGATGAGAAAACTTCATTCACTCAGGTAGTTTTTCATCAGTGGCATCTTGCTGGTTTATTTTCAGTGCGCCGCGTTGAAGAGGACGCTCAGAAGGGCGAGCTGAGATCACCACTGGCGGCTGTGGACCCGGTAATGCACCTGTATTCATGGCACCATGCAACCGGTACCTGCTGGGGATGCCACCGTTGTCCCCTCCCATGCTTTCCTAAAGCGTGATTGCAAGGCAAACCGCTTCTGTCGACGGACGTCGGTACGGCCCCGAGCCTGACCTGCTGTTCCTGCCTAACTCCCTCAAAAAGATCCTGAAAATAAACATGGTGGTGGATTTAATGCAGATTAAAATCAGATCGGCAGCTGTCCAGCTGGATGGAGGCAGTGGCGTTAAACCTGTATTTTACAAGGGTTCAAATCCATCCGGATCTTGGCAGAAATTAAAAATGCCAGGCAGCGCGGCGTGTGTCATCCGTCATTAGCATGGTCTGATGGCGTCTGTAGCTGAGGGGAGCGGCAGGGGAGGTGTTCCTGTCTGCTCATTGCTCCCCTGAAGACCAGCTGGGATCAATTAAGTCCCTTTAATTGGTACCCGACAAAGAGGAGTTGAAGATGAGTTGAAAGAAACTGACCCGTAGATGGCCTGTCAGTTGTAGGTGCGTTCTCCATCAGATATGTCTAAAGGATATGTTTGATTAGGTAGCGTATGTATTTATGCGTGATGTCCCCTGCCTGAAGGTCAGCCCGCTGAGACAAGGCATTGTTTTCATCTCTCCCCCAGAGTTGCTTCGTTTTGCCTGAACTTTTCAGCTGCTGTTGCAGTGTGATTTTTTTCACGACAGGCTTTTTAAAAAAAAATTATGCCTGGGATCCAGGGGAAGTATTTTCCTCACGTTGTATTTAGGAAGCGGAATGAAAAGGCAGGAATGGCCCGAGGTGACGGTGTGTACGGAGGAGAGCGAGGGAGACCCGGGGGATTGCCGCTGCTCGGACTACGTTTCCCATGATGCAACGCGGCGGGGCCGTCGGCAGCGCCTCGCCCCCTCCCCCGGACTACATCTCCCATGAGGCTTTGCGCGCCCGCCGGGATTCCCCGCGTGTCTCCATCGGGGCTGCTCTGGCGTCCCCTGCCTCCG